ATTAAACGTGTAATATATCATCATCGTCGTCGTCGTATATAATTAGTAATATCCTAAGATAGTATTATATGAACGATCTTTTCCCTTTTTTTTCTCCCGAGAACGCAAAACGCGGAAATGAAAAAGAAACGCTTATCTCAACAGCCACCACTTCTTCCCTTTTGTTTTTTTTTTTTTTTTTTTCGTACCTAACCGTCAGAGGTACTAATGCCACTCAAAAATGATCTCCGGTTAAACTGTTCCTCTTGTTCGGCAGTATCGACGTGACCTGTTCGATGCGTCGCGGGCGTCGTTTCTCGGCGAGATCGAACGAAACTGCCGAACATTTTCCATGCTAGCGTTCTCAGCACCTCGACAAAATGGACTTTCGCGTGGAATGATAGAGCATCTTACTTCCTCGTCGTCATTAACTCGAGATACGTCAATGATTCTTAGTTTTCTTATGTCTTAAGGTTCTTTATTATCTAAGAGTAGACGTTAAGTACTGATAAAGGTCACCGAGAGAAACCAGGCAGTGGGAATCGAACGGAGACGGAGGGAATAAAACAGCTGCATCACGAAGGTAGAGGAGTAAAAACGTGCAACAATGAGATGGAGGTGTGTATACGTGTATGTGTATGTATGTTCTGATATTTTAAGAGTGCTCGCTCGCGCGCTCGGTTATTTTAGCATAACGTTAACGATTACGCGATTAATCGGAGTATTTATTTCTATATGCTGCCTCCAGTGATAAGCTACTACAATCACTATCGCATTTTTTTTTTTCGTGTAGTATTTAAGCTGCATTATGTTTTATTGCCATTGATTATCTCCAAAAATATCAGAACCTAAAAATACAGCAAAGAGCGCAACGACAACGCGTTCACTTACGCTTACATTGTCCGTGTAAACGCGTTCTAGCATCATTCAAACGTTCGTCCCCGAGGAATGAGAGTGACCGGTTACCGAATGTCGGTCGACGAATCGATCCGCGGAGCTTCCAGTTCGAGTGCATAACGTGTAGAGGCGGAGGAACATCGAGGTACGTCTAAAAACGGCGTATACTACTTTTACAATACGAGCGCTCCTTCCTGCGTTTTTAATATCGACATGTATGACAACGTAATAAAAACGATGTGTATATGAGATACTTCCGAAGATAGCGTGTAACACACGTGTTCGTATGGCACATAGGTATGCTGAATTCTACGTTATTTTATCTCCCGTAGAATCCGTTTCGTTTCCCATCCAGCGTGTCCCTGCTATAAACTGTATTTTACATTTATATTGTCAATTCTTCGCGAAATCGATTTACACCGCGACACGTGGCCCGTGGTGCATACGAGTGGACGCAATGTACGGCGGTTGTCTCATCGCAAGTACGATCTGCCGATTAGGAAACGCGTTTCTTGAATTTGCGCATTCCGGGGATGTACATGTCCGGATCTTCGGAAGAATCTCGGAGGTTAGAGATATACATACTATTTATATATATATCTTATTCTAACAAAATACTATGAGATTCTTGAAGAAAATACGCGAGAACGAATACGCGATTGCGACCAGCTTCAGAAATTAAAATATCTGTGATGACTCTCGAGGCGATGGCCGAATTATTCCTTCACTTCAAAGTATTTGTATGTAGGATTCTCGTAACCGTTGATCTGCATATTTGCAACGTGTCTCTCCTCGGGCGTGGCCGCTTGATCAACCTCGATAAAGCCCTGGGAAAACGAGAAATTATTTGTCATATTGCATTGTCAATTAGTGTGTGTTAATTATTATAACACATTATATATCCTTCTCAAATTTATATGCATTCTCGTTAGAAGTATATTAAAATTAAATAAAGAAAGAGTATCATGCACGTGCAACTTACTAATTAATGATAACACATTACGTATGATATATTGATATATCTTTTAATATAACGGTATACCTGGCTGTGAGGGCTTCTCGCGCTACGTCTCTTGAATACTGCAACGCCTACAACTGCAGCCGCCATAAGTGCTATACCAGCAAATGCGAGTGTAAAGTAGACGGATCGGCTTTCTCTGTGATATACCTCTCGCCTTACAGAATAACCCTACAAAATTAATTAATTTGCATGTATTAATCAGGAAAAATTCATTTAAATTTTTTTATTTTCGTTGCAATAACAAGTTTATATTATAATTATAATAATAAGATAACAAATTTATTTGATAAGAAATAAAGAAATAGAAAAACTTTATACGATGACTTTATAGTTATAAAGTAAAGACTTTATAGTTATAAGATAAATTTTCTTACTGGCTCGGAATGAGAGACATCGTGAGTCATGATATGGGCTGCTCTAACTACTCCCTCATTATGCATGGCAGCTACCGCAGCGGGTTGCTCCGATTGCTGGGGAATATCCTTGGTATCGATTGCTGAATCACTTTCCTCGTGTTGTTCTTGTTCGGTGCGTAACTCGCCGCGTTCTGCCTTACGTTGTTCCTTGCGCGCTCGCTCAAGTTGTTTCTGATGTTCCTTTTCTGTAAGATACAAAGTAAAGTAAAATACGCTCATTTGCATAAATTTGTTTTCGATGGATTTGTCATAAATACCTTGCTGTTTGCTAGCGACATCGGCCTGATACTTGTCTAGAATAGCTGCCTCCGCTTCGCGCGTCATCGCCAACAGCAATCCCGGAGTTTCATCCTTACTCCTGAGGGCCAAAACGTAATCGTCCATGAGACGGCCGATCTTCGCGCTTAGATCTGGATATCTGAACATAAGAAAAGAAAAAATGAGTCTAATGTTTTTTTTACCGCGGCGTTTTATTGTTCTGCGTGTAACGTTGTCGCGTGATTTGCGGTGTCTTTAAGATATTAAAAATATATGTTGAATTACCGTTCCAACATCAAGAGGCTCTGATTGGTAATCCTATCAATTTCCGCCAGATGTTCCAGAGTGGCCGGCTTCTCCCGCTGCGCCTGTTCCAAGCTACTGTCAAGGAGATGCTTGTAATGAGCGATTGTGTGGTGCCTGTCTTTGTGAAGGGCTCTGAGGAGTTTTTGCAGGCATTTTTGAATACGGTGCATCTAAAAAACATATTACATCGATCGTTAGGCAGGAAGGTAAAAAGTACTCTTTATCAAAATATATTATATAAAACTTACATTTGGCGGCGTCTCGTTGAGGGCCGCGGTGTAGCATGACATGGCTTCCTCGTTTCTCTGTTTAACAGCCTCCTGCGAAGAAAAGATTATTATGGGATATAATTCATTCGAGCGAATTCCGAAAATTATTACTCGTCTATCGTCGCGCGTGAGAAAAGTTTTATCAAGCTCGATTTACGTTCGCGCTTTGTTGAAATTCATAGTTTGCTTCAAAGTTGGGCGACTTTTAAAAAGAATGTTCGTATCATATCGCGCGTTTCCACATACCTGCACTCTCTGTTGGTGCATTGCGCTTAACTGATGCTTCTCTGCCGCGCCGCTCTCCTCGAGGGCGGCGACCGTCTCCTGGAATCGCGCCGTCATCCAGCGTTTGAAAGCGTCCGCGGCGACGGGATCGTGGGCTCTGATGTCCTGATATCTCTCCTCGAGGTCACTCCAATCCTTCATCACCTGAAAGCGTTGTAGCACAAAGATTTCGACACCAATGTCCCGCGCCATGATACTTATCTCCCAAAAGATTTATTTTTCTCTCGTACCTTTTTTTCTCTCAAATACAAATTTCAGTACCTCGACTCGATGTAACGATCATACTTTATACTCGTGTTTGCTTTCCCCTACATAGCCGAAGATATGAGGTACGGCTAAATAGATGAAAATATGTGGTACGATGTACACTAACATTACTTCCTACTTTTCCCACTGCGATTAATCGAACTTACTTTCGTTACTTTCTCCTTGTGCACCTCCTCAAGTCGCATCTGAGCCTGCTTGTAACTCTGATGCTCGGATCGCGGATCGAAGTGCGTCAGATAAGGATCGGGAGTGCCTTGCGGTTGAGAGGGCTGCTGCGTGCTCGTGCTAACCGGCAGCGGCATTGCCGTCGCATCCTGTTTGGCTTTCTCCGTCGTGGAAACGGTCGTCGATGGTCGACTGATTTATAACAAATTTACGATAAACATTTTAACTTTTCATTTAATCAATTTCAGTTACAGCTATTTTGATTCATGTTTATTCTTTTTTGTTAATTCGGTTCAGAAGGAGATCTTAATCAAGCTTAATTGTTATTTTTAAAGCAACCATATGAATGTAAGTCTTTTTTCAAAACACGCATATATTATTCATTACCTGGTAGTCGTGTCGTAATCGTCGAGATCATCATACTCCTCCTCGCTTTCGTCCTCATTGGGTTGATCGCTAAGCATGTCCTCGAGATCACCATCAGAATTGTCTTCGTCCTCTGCGTCGCCGTCCAGGTCATCTTCGTCGTCGAGATCGTCCTCATCCTCGTCGAGATCATCATCCACGCTCTTCGGTATGGGCAGATCAATCGGCTTCTTTACCTTCACGTTCTCTGCAAAGGGACCAATATTTCGCGCGTTATTCTTTGCCGCATCCGCGTTCGATTCGATCGTTACATAAGTGCATAAAGCGCGCAAGGCTGATGATTGGTTCTGAAAATAGACTCTCCAGCGTGCACGAGTTGCAAGAACCTATGTGAAGAACAAAAAAAACAGAGATCGTTTAATTAATATCGCTGCGCATATCGTGATTATGCGATAGTGCTTCCTATTTTTTCTCGCCTCTCTAACGATAACGATTCGGCATACGCACACACATACATACATACATATCGCGCACATACATGTACATACGTGACGCGATAGGTGCAATTATTGGAATTCCTGTCTGCGCGCACATTCCAGTATATCGACTGCCATTGTTTGAATAGTAAATGGACGGGATTGGGCTGGCCGCAGATAGCTCCACGGAATTCTGGCCCATAATCTAAATCAATGTGCGCCAGTGATACACTGCCGGTGTCACCGATCACTTGATTATTTATTGATACACTCGCTAAGAGAGAGAGAGAGAGAG